CGCCAGCGTGGACCCCGGCGTGGCACGAAACCTCACTGTTGGGTGTCTGCCTCCTTGTTTGTTTTATATCTGTACAAAGAAATCCTAATAACTAAAGATCCCCTCGAAAGGAACCGACAGTGACCCGAAATGTAGCACAAGGGGTGTTTTGTTCCTGGAGTCACAACAGAGTCGAAATCAAGGCGGGGACCGTGGGCAGGTGATGGCATTGACGTGCCAGCGTCACCTCCAGCTGCTTTTTCCCACCTCTGGCCCACCTCCCCCCCCCTGTGCTTCTGTGGGTATTAAAACCAGTAAATGGATGGCGCAGAGTGGTGGCCTGGTCATTTGGGGCAGCCCCAGCACAGGGGTGGGAAAGGCAGGGCTGCACAGCCCCAAAATGGGGAGCGTGGCAGCACCCATCAGCGCCGTGGAGCCGGAGAGCCCCTGGCCCAGCCTGGGCACAGCGACTTCCCCAGGGACCACAGAAACAGGGAGGCACAGCCCAAAGTGCCCCCGCATCCCAGCGGCACTGGGGACCGGTCAGAGCTCGGGCTGGGATGCTGCTCCCGGCAAACACGTGGGACCTGGGGGCCGCATTGCAGGTGCTGGGGGGATGCTGGCATCTCCCCACGCTGTTTTTCCCCCTGCGGCATGCCAGCTCCGGTGCTTTTTATAGCTCTCCCTGGCCGTGTTAAACAGCAAAACTCAGAAACCCCCAGCGTGCGGTGCCAGGGACACCGATAACCCCCAGGACAGGGCGGCCGCGGGGGCTCCACACTGTCTGCCCCCCTGCTTGAGACGGAAATTCCTTGGCAAATTCCCCTCGTCGAGAGGGCAGACAGCCCCGGGGGGCAGAGAGCAGGGCTTTGCCGTGCAGCTTTACCGGCGCTTTATTAATTGAGAAGGCGAAACTCCATTAGTCACACTCGTTAATGCCCGGTCCTCCAGCGCGCTTGCACCAGCCAGAGTCCTCCCGTCTGCGGGGAGCGAGGATGGGGCGAGAGACGCACCAGGGTTGGGGAATGGGGAGCCTGTGCTGCCTGCTGGGGGGGGCTGGATTAGACCCTCTTCCTGGCCCAGCAATGGGTCTGGCTTCTCCAGCAAGCCCTGAACACCCAACAAGCCCCAAAACAGGCTGGGGCGTGGAGAGCGGCTCCATCAAAGGACGCACCGAGCACCCAAACCCAGCTCTATCACTCCATTGGAGGATGCACAAACCACCCGAAATCACCGGGAGACACCCCCCCCCCCCCCCCCCCCCACCTCTCCCTCCG